CGTCGAGATGAGGTTGCTATAGCTACATACCTTATCAACCATGAAGATGCCAGAAACACCACATTCAACGACTAAATCGCCTTTTTCAAGTGTTTTTTTTTTTGAGAGAACCGCTCAGCTAATAATTCCTATGGGACAAGAAATGACCATCAGAAACTCGAATAAACTGACCAAGAACGTCCTGCTGGATAAAACAACAGAAAAACGAATGCCAACTGTGAGTAAATGGGGACTGAGCAGCGAAAGGTGACCCCGATACTTCCCGTCAGATGAGCGGCATGCCAGATATCATTACGACCATGCAAGAAAGTAAAAACCCGATGCACAGGGCATGTTGCTGGCTCTGTTGAAAATCGCCGAACACTGAGCATCACAGCAGGTGCAAAAAATGAATATTTTCTCAACAAGGACAGGTAAATTTTGCTTTCTGACTGAATGGACATACCTCAAGGAGGCCAGTTTCTGGATCATAAACAGGTTCCGGAAACTGCTCGTCGCCGTCGTCCATGTTGCTCATCGCTCGTAATTTTCGGCAATTCAGAACTGAAAAAGATTTTGGGCATTTGTGAAAACAGGCGAAATACGACCTGCGAAACGAGCAATGTCTAAAATCACATAAACAACACCACATTCCTTCCCTTATCTCTACCAGATACAACGGAAATGAGAGGTTTAGTAACAACTAGAACTCGGCTCCGCTCGGCTTGGCCCGGTCCCATCGAGTTGGGAAGTGAACTGCCACGACTATGCATTGAGCCCGCATGGTGAGACAAAGCTGCAGATGGTGCACTAAAACAGGCACCACATGTTTCGCCCAAACCAACAAGTGAGTGGAATAAGCACGGCCGAGCCAAGTTTTAGTAGTTGCTTTCTGTGAGCAAAACACGGCTCGGCCAAAGCGGGGGCGGATCGCAGCGGTGGGCGGGGCAAAGATGCCTCCTCCCACTTTTTCCTTCCTATTTTTAACATCACTGCTGACGAAGTGCAGTTGTGGTGCTGAATAGGAATGTATGCGGCTTGACAGGTTCGACATCCTTGTCGGGGTGTCGCAGTTTTTCCACGTTCCTTAAATTCTAATGTAGCGCTTTGACTAATGTAGCACTTTAGCTAATGTGGCGCTTTAGCACTGTTCCAGTTTTCAAGACTTCGTCGAATTTTGTGAAAATTTTCCAGGTAGTAAGAGCGAAGATTGAGTATGTTGGCTGGAGGACTTTGACTTTTTAACATTTGCTTTTTCAGCTGTTATTTCTCGTAATATTTGATGGATGGAACACTGGGTAACAGTGCGGCATTCCCGAGAATATGTCTGAACGAGACGAGTGCAGTCGAGTTATTCATCAGATTTATGCTTGGCAATCGACCGTGCATTATTGAGGCATCAGCTACAGCACATTGGGAATGTCGACAGCAATGGGTCAGAACTATAAATGGCAGAAGTACCATTGATACGAATTTTCTGATCAAGCACTATGGTACATAATGTTTTGTTATCACACATATATTTGGATATTTGGACAAATCCCTTTACAATTTTTTTTTTTGCTTTCTATGTCTAACTACGATACAGCAGGAAGTAGCGCTGTTCTCATGTTGTGGATCGAAAGTTGAACTTCACCAGTTGGACAGGCAGTTCTTCCGCAACTCGCTCGTTCATTCGATAGTAGTTTTCTACTGTTTTGAGAATTTTAACTTCACATTTTAAATGTATATCAGCAAAACCGACATGAACGGAAGAAAAAAAAAGCAGAAGCTCTGAGATTCGAGAAAATAAAACATCTAGGTTCGCTTCTGGCCTTGGTACTTCCATTAAAAATTTTAAATTTGAATTTTAGAAATTTGTTAAATTTAAAAATAAAAGAAATGTAAACGGATTTGTGTTAGAAAGCTTGATGTTTTTCAAACTTTTGTTACTATAGTAAAAGGAATACAGCTCCTCATTTTTTTGCAGGACATATGGAGGTACCATTAGTTAAACAGTGCATCGATAGGGTAGACGACAATGAAAAGTGCGCAGCTGAGGGATGTGCAGCTTCTACGACCAATTATTCAAAAGTGAAAATGATGGATTATATCAAAGATATGGAAATGGATCCCAGGCCCAAGAATATTGGCTATGCTAAAGACTGGCACTTTCAGCAGTAAATTATTTCTTCAGCTGTCAGTTGATAATGTGTAGAAATTTGTGATGTTGGGGTGGCGCATAATTGATACTGGTCACTGTGAAAGTGATAAGCGCTCTTCCCCTCGCTCTTAACTCCCTCTCTACCTCGCTCTTCACTCCTTACTCTTTTTTTCAACATACAGAGAAACCTGTGGAAAAAAAGCCGTGAGTAATTTGGAACCAAAAGTAACGTCTTCACTGTTATAACTTTGTAAGGATCTACCGGACAGTCTGATTCCAAATTGCTTACCCGCACTTGAATATTTTTAGGAAGGCCAAAGACAAGGCCTTCTCCGCTTTCCCTCCGGCAAAGGGCTAAGATGCTTCAAAGGATGTTTGGATTCGAATAATAAAACTCCAGTCCAAACATGATCTTTGAAGAGTGCACAACGTGCAGATTTTTACAGGGTAAGAACTGTTGTTGAATTTACCTTCAGTTATGTTAATATTTATTAGCTCTGTAATTTCAGAGATTCCGGGACATCATATCAGATGTACGGGCTGCCATCGTTTTTATGTTTCGACTGGATCAACAACGAAGAGTGGTCAGCTGATGAACGTAATGCACTTGGTGATTATCGTTTCGTATATTTCGGTGCCAAACATACATGGTTTGTCTTTTTTCTCGTCTACTTTTCTATGCGTTTTTGCTGTGCAATGCTTGAGTGCTGCAACAGGCAGCAAGAACCCTGTTGTGATGACCGTGTCTGTATGTGCTCGTCTGTCCAGATGTTTTTTACTCAGTAACCACGCAAGCTTTAATACTGAAATTTTGCTTGTGTGTTCCCTGGCCAAATGCGTGATATCAACCAAAAACGTGATATCAATTATCACGCACGCCTACATCTCATGCACAGACACATGAAAGTTTTGGCAGGAACAATGCTAATTCGAGAACGGGCAAAACCAGAAAGCTGAAAATTTAGGTAATGTCCACTACTCATGTGCGATCAAAAGTTTTCAAATTCAGCTCCTTAGAACCGCCCGAGTCTTATGTAAGGACATGCTTCCCGTGGTTATGCAAATTTGCATTGTGGCATAGTATTAGCAATATTCGCTTCCACTGCAATAAAAAGCAGCGCTTACAAGTGACTGCTTTGTGAGTTTTTCTTTGCGCGCACCAACAACTCTCTGTTTTCGGTCACTGAAGTCGACAGCTACGACTGACACACCACACAGCTGCACGATTAACTTCCTGAACTTCGAGAATGTTTTCATTTAGCATGTAATACGGCTCCTGTTTAATAAAATCCAGTCCAAACATCTCATCGCAACGTGGTTTTCGAGTTAGCAGTTCGCCTGTCCAAGTTTCCACGCACACCTACATGGCGTTGAGCTTAGATCTCGGATGGCGTGGTAGGTATCCCAGGCACAGGTTGACCGCTACGAACAGGTCGGTTTCCCTGAAAATGGCGGAGCTGCGAAGGGAGTGGAGTCTCCACCATTCCGCGGGATATGAGGACGGGAGCGAAGCCCCAACGACTGGGCAGTGGATAAGCGGCGGGATTGTGGCCTTGGTGCAGAAGCCATGCTCCTACTCGCCCAACCCCGCCAAAACCATCAAGGCGCCGGCGGTTGGGCGAGGAAGTGCCAGCTGGGATGGAGCCTGAGGCCCGGTACCGGCCCCTAGCTAGCAGGACCGGCGCGGTTCTGGCGCGCGGGCTCCGCCCCGGCAGTCGGTCGAGGAAAAAACTAGCATGCACGGCGGACCTCGTCGGTCACACCGCCGTCGGCGCACTCGGCCGGTCAGAGCGATGCCGGTGGACTAAGCTGGTCACACCAGTGCCGGGGGTCCGATCAACCGGGCGGAGCGGACCTCAGCCATGCCGAGCCAACCGGACCCCAGCCACGCCGGGCGGACCGAATCCCAGCCACGCCGGGCGGGCCGGACCCTAGCCATGCTGAACAAACCGGACCCCAGCCACGTCAGGCCAGCAGGACCCCAGCCAGGCCGGGCGAACCGGACCCCAGCCACGCCGGGCGATCCGGACCCAGCCACGCCGGGCGGGCCGAATCTCAGCCACGCCGGGCGGGCCCGGCCCTAGCCATGCTGAACAAACCGGGCCCCAGAGTCCCGGCCGCGTTGAGCCAATAGGACCCCAGCCACGCCGAGCCAATAGGACTCCAGCCACGCCAGGCAGGCCGGACCCCAGCCTGGTCGGGCGAACTGAATCCCAGCCGCGTCGGGCGGACCGGACCTTAACCATGCTGAGCAAACCGGACCCCAGCCACGCTGGGCGGACGGGGCCCTAGCAATGCTGAGCAAACTGGGTCCCAGCTACGCCGGGCGAACCAGACCCCAGCCACGTCGGGCGAACCGGACCCTAGCTGTGCTGAGCAAATCGGACTCCAGCCACGCCGGGTGGACCGGGCACCAGCTACGTTGCGCGAACCAGGACTCAGCCACGTTGGGCGAACCAGACCCCAGCCACGTTGGGCGAACCAGACCCCAGCCACGTCGGGCGAACCGGACCCAGCCATGCCGGGCGAACTGGACCCCGGCCGCGTCGGGCGGACCGGACCCCAGCTACGCCGGACGAACCGGACCCCAGCTACGTCGGGCGAACCGGACCCCAGCTACGTCGGCCGAACCGGACCCCAGCTAGGTCGGGCGAACCGGACCTCAGCCATGCCGG